AGAGAGAGAGAGAGAGAGAGAGGGAGGCATCTATTACTTTGAAGTTAATTTCAGATGCTTGTATTTGTTTCCCCCACAATGTTGCAGGTATCTGACCCAGTTTACTTCCACAAAATCTGCGCATACGTTCAGCCAACTCCCGGAAATGACATCACAGAGGAAGAACTCCGGAAATTCAACGAAGGCGGGAAGGTAGAGCCGCATTATTATCTGGTCAGTACACAGTGAAGACAAATTTTGTTTTTGCGGTTTTTCAAGGCTTTTCACTTATTTGACTCCATTACTTCCGTTCACCCATTTGCGCCTTTCTTGCTTTTTTCTTCATAGAACGTTTTCTATGATTGTCTTAACCTATAACCCAAATGTATAATTCATCAGAGCTTTTCACATCTATTCTTATTTCCCCACGTCTTATCGTATCTCATCTGATCAAGTCATATCTCTTCACTTCTTACCTACTACTCTTGTGACATCTCACCTCAAACCTTTTACACCATCTCTCAACTTTGATAGGAGCTCACATCACCGCATTTGAATGAAGATTATCTCATTTCACCCAACATCATCTCATCGGAGGTCACATCATCTCATTTAACTATTCATTAGCTCACCGCACATTATTTCATATCACAATACATCGTCTCATGACAGCTCATTTTATCATCATCATCTCATCTTCTCAGTTTGTTATACACTAACGCATCTCACCGCCATGTATCACCTGATCTCAGCTCACATCATCTCATCTCATAATACTTCATCTCATTTCCTCATGCGTCACCTCATCTCGGTTCAAATTGTATCTTACCATACATCATCTCACCTCACTATACATCGTCTCACTTCATAACATCTCACAGTGTATCACCTCATCTCAGCCCACATCTCATTTCACCATCCATCACCTCGTCTCAAAACATCTCACATAGTCTCGACCCATCTCATCTCATCCACAGATAAAAGCAGAGCTCCCAGTCGTTCCCACTGGTAAACCAGACCGACAAGCTATTCGCAGTCTGGCTGAGAAAATGTTTGGAAGGACGTAATTACAAAACTGTAACAAAATTCCAAGCAAGCTACAGTCGCGTTTAGGCACGGTCAGGTCAGATCAGTCTCTGCTACTGGTAAGCATGTAACCCAGTACCACCTGTGCATGGACAAGGGACAGGAAAACAGAGCCTCCTCTACTTGTGGGTTCACCGTCAAGTCTTATTTCGCGAGCATCTCATTTTCTCGAAACGTGACAAATTAATGCTTTTTCACAAGTAGTAAAAATTTCTCTTGTCCTGTATTATCTTTCCTGTTTTCGAGGAACGGTTTCTAATTTAGCCTTCTTCTAATAATAGTATTTTGAACGTCTTACAATTGGGAGGCCTATTTTGCTTTTGATGCCTTGTTTTCTGAGCTGCGGAGTTGGCCTACCATAGAAAACTGCATCTCCCCTCGATACTTAACGGCAACAGAGGATGAACAAGTAAAAAGTTAAAAAAAATAATGTTTAAGTAAAAGTAAAGTTTAAAGTCTTGTTTTCTGGGAGACTCCATGTTTTCTTGCGAAAATCAGATGCTTACGAAGAAAAAAACAAACACGTTTTCCAGTGCTAGGGGAGAATAGTTGTGGACCCCTCACAGGGAAAAAACACCCCGACATCTCTACAAAAGGGTGGGTCATCTTCTGGTTATTGCTACAGAGGCCACAGAACACAGGACTCCACTACTGCCTTGTGGGATTACTCTACAAGACAAAGACTGACAGGGGGTCAATGAGCAGATAGTCTACTACAGGGGTCATCACACTACGGCCCAGGGGCCGGATGTGGCCCCCGAGACCAGTTCGTCAGGCCCGCAGCCATGCCACCAATGGAGAGGGGAGGGGAGTCGGGT